GAGCCTCAGGAACAGACTGACTACTCTACAGACTGAGCTGGAGTGAGTGAAAGTCCCGGATTGCAGGGGCTGTGACCGTAGCAGGGGCTAAATATTTAGAGATTGAATCCAATAATTATTAGGTTTTCCGTTTGTTTGGCTGTAGGAGTGTAAAAGAGGAGAACAAACAGCTGAAGGAGATCAAGAAACAGATGACATTTGACATCGAGACACTTCTCAGCCACAGACAGGTCTGATCAGTACTGACCAAAAAACGTCTTGGTTTTAGCAGAAAAATAGAGTCTGCATTCAGCACTAGGGCTCACAGACACCCACACACCTTTCTCTCCGTCTTCCAGGAGCTGTCGGCTATGAAGCAGCTGTTGCTGAATGCCCAGAGAGAGTCTTCACTTCCTCATCTCTCCCTGGCCCCACCCCATCCCTCCTCACTACACCCTAACCCCTCAGTCAATGCAGACATCGATCTCGATTCTTTCACTCCTCGCCCCGTCCTCTTTGTAAGTTTAGTCTCGTTGGCCAGCCAGCCAATTTTCCAGGAGTGTTTCCTTTGCTGGCCACGTGAGACTGTTTGTAGTTTGTGGTCCAGCCTGTCTTTGTTAGTTTGTGCGGATGCCTTGTGTGTTGATGAAGTTTCGGTAAAGCGTGTCCTTTCTAAGTGTTATTAAAATATTATGGTGAAGCTTGACATTGTAAGTGAAGTTTGGCCGAATGAAGCTACATATTCTAACTCTATTAAGTCCTGTCTGCCTGTATCTATACCTTCTTGAAAGTTCAAATGTGCAGAAATGCATTCGGGGGAATGATAGGGTCTTGCACAATGTCAGTGTTTGTATGTTTTCGTAAGTTATGGTATATACAGCTTGGTTTATGTGTGATAAACTTCAGTTTATAAACTGACGTTTTTCTGTTTGCATCTTCTGTGAAACAAACAGTGAGTCCCCTTTCCCCCTAATGTGTATTGTAGCAGTGGTTCCCTAGTAGTGAGACATTTCGCAATAGTCTAGTGGCTTTCATACATTTTACTTTCACTGGATATGTTTTCGTGGCTTCAATCTTAGCATAAGGAGGGAATGCACCATCTCCGTGGTCTTTCCCCTTTCATTGTGTTGGAATAGAGGTGTCAGCGTAGTGTTTGTCTGTTTGTGTAGCTACTAAGTATATGCCACCGTCCTATTGTGCTAACAACCCCATAAGCCAACTGCAGAGAAGGCAAATCATGACCCAGATGTGCTGAGTCCTGTTTGCTGAGATAGTCTGTTCTCTAGAGCTCCTACTGTTGAACAGTACACTCTGCCCATGAATACATTAGCAGTTTTCCCCCTGTGATTGGTGGCTATGTGGATTACCTAGTCTATAGCAAATTTAAACACGTCAACTAGAACATTAGCTTGACACCTTTTTTGCAGTGTGCCTTTTGTCAACTTATCCAACCTTGCCACCTGTGTGTGGTCTGTAGCGTACTGCCGTTGTGTAATTGGCAACACTTTTCTTGATCTCATGGCTTCCCCCCATTGCACGATCCTACATACTTCCTCAGTTTCATAATTATTATGTGTCTGTTCTGTTGTACAAGGATCAGTAAGACTGGAAACCAACCAGTACGAACCTCACTAGCGAGTATCGCGTGAAGTAAAAGTATTTTTCACGATACTGTGGTTTTCATGAAAAGGTGCAACTCTCAAAACTTTTCTGCCGTGGCGAAAGTTTTTAGTGATGCAGCGTATACTCTGCCCTACAGACAAAAAGAGCCTCACCAACAAGATCTGATCAGAGTAAAAAATGTTGACCCCACAGAACAAGCAGACACTCACTTCATGCTATTTTATACACAAAATTATCATTTTTATGACTGAATAAAACTGCACGAAAATTGACAGATGTACTGCATTACAGACAAACGAGAGAGCAAGTGATGATAGTACTTTCTGATTAATAATAAATAAATAAACACATTCTCTGTCTCGGCCGTCATGAAGATCTTAGCGGGAGGAGAGAATGCGCTGATGGAGAGACTGAGTAGAGAGAGAGTTTTGGTAGCGAGCCGTCGAAATGACTTCTTCGACGGAGTGTTGTCGAGGAGGCAGTGGAGCTGTTGCTGACGACGGAAGAGCAGCGTCTGTCGTATCCTGAGAGGGGTCTCGTCGGTGTGGGTAGCTGTAGGGGACTGGTGAGCGGGGAGGGGGAGGGAGAGAGGATAAGTTCAAAGAAGATTATTGTGCTCGATGAGACGTCGGACGATGTCGTTTTCGGGCCGCAGACTACGAGAACTTGTAGAGAGGTGGGTGTGGTCACCATGGAATGGAATGGAGACCGGCACTCATCGTCTGGGGTCCTGAGTGGGCAGGTGAAGAGATCCAGAACGGGACCTTGACTGCAGTGCTCAGCGGTCACCAATCTGTACCCCAGAGCCTGTGACCCACTGTCACCTGTCGCAGAACAAGATACGTCACTGCTGGTTCTTGCTGAAGAGCCGTTTCTCTTGTGGAGACGGAACACAAGGAGGTCGCTCTCAGACGTGCCCGCGAGGAGGTAGGGAGAGGAGAAGTGGAGGGATGTTATCTGCAGAGTTGGGGTGGATGCTGCTGGGAGGCCCAAGTCCGCATCACACAATGTGCTGTGGAGAGAGAGAGGGAGAGTGGGGGGAGCATGAGCAAGGGTGGGAGAGAAACCGATCACAGTCTCATCGGGCCTCTTTTACTCCAGCTATCTTCCCCATTAATTTGAATGATGGCCAAGGCTTTGAGCCAAGAAAAGGACAGCTTTATAAGCACTTGATGGGACGCTGAATGGCTCGCGTTATTATAGTACAGGCTAACATAACACGACACTGGGGTTTGGGCACACTGGCACTGATCAAAACAGCAGACGGGCAGTGTTTGGAGGCTGTGTAGGCTCAGCAATGTTGTGGTCACATGGCTCGAGGAATGCGTGTAACCAGGTCACATGAAGACTGCAATTGAACTATTCATATCTGAGCTTCTCTATAGTAATATAGTGGCTTTTGAATCCTATTGAGAATATATACAACAGGTGGTATTAAGTTTGTTGTGTATACAATAAGCTATCGTATATATAGGACCAGCCTCCCACATAAAAGCATGCTTGAGTGCAGATACCCCGTACATTATGGCATAGGTGCCAAAAGGTGTAATTGAAGGGGTCAGAGCCAGAGTGAGCTAACCCTCAATTTACAACTCTTTGCCAGTTTGTTCTATAGAACATATTTGAAGGAAAACCGGCAAGAGTTGTATATTGAGGGTTGGCTCACTCTGACTCTGACCCCTTCAATTATCGTGGTAATTTAGGGGGTGCTCATAAGCTTATTGCAAATTGCATGGATTCACACTTGTATTGGTGGGGATAGGCAGGTATACATACTACACTCCCAATTCCAGGAATACTTTATAGCAGGGAAACTTTTCGAGGGAGAAACGTTTCGAAGGTCGTCAGTTTCAGAGCTAACCACGAAAGTTATCTCTGTGAATTTGGTGGCCAGGGAACAGAACAATCAAAAGTGTTCCTTGCAAATTTCTAGTTTAAATCAATTTTGAAGTTTCTCCCTCAAACTTTTTCCTGCTTTGCAGTATTATACTGAAAATCTCCATACCAGCAGGTTATGGTGAGCTTCGGGGCCAATTGCTCCGTGTCCCAGAGAGTTATAGTCGACGAGTGGGAAAGAGCACTCCACACTCCGTGCTCTGATGGAAGCAATCTGATGACCTCCGAGTCTCTCGGCGCTGATATCTGGTCACTGGAGTGGCCCACAGCGCCGTCAAATCGATCCGTTTCCTCCCACCCCTCTCTCTGGATGACCACAATCGCTCTTCCATAGGTACACCAAAACACCTCTCCTGCTTCTGCCGTCTGCACTGCAACGATACAGTTCACCCTTCTTCCCCCTTCTCCCTCCTCTGTCCCTCTTTCTTCCCTTTCGCCCAAGTCGATCACTTTTCTCGGTTTTCTCAGAGCAGTGTTGGGATTTTTTAGACCTCCACTGGGCACTGCCTCGCCTGATATGATAGCCACAGCTCCGTTTGATGAGCCCAACAAGACGTCGATTCTCAGACTTCGCAGAGCCAGCTGCAATCCCGTGTCCTCCCCAGCAGAGCTGTCAGCTCCATTCGGGTGTCGTGAGGCTATGCACAGCAGAGAACCATCGAGTGTGGTGACTGAATGAGAGGCGAAGCGGAGGTTTCTACCGAGCTCAAATACGTGCAAGCTCCCGGCTTCCGTGCCGACCCAAACTTGCGTCTCTCCGACTACCGACACGCAGAGGACGGTCGACTGCGGAAAGGCGACGCACTCCGCCAGCTCCGCGTACGACAGCGGGAGAGGGACGGGGATGCGGTCAACGCTTCCAGTCACGGCGTCGAAACCCGCTAGCGAGAATCCGGGTCCGCCGTAGGTAAGGTATTTCCCGGAACTGCCCGCGGGCCGGGGACTGTCTCCAATGGCGCTATCCAGGGAGCTGGTCGGGGAGAAGGTTGACGGAGGATCGAAGGATAGCTCGGGGACTGCAACCGCTCCGTTGACGTTCATCGATACGGTGACGCTGCCCAAATGGGCCGACTCCAGTCTTGCCATGCTCAGAGCACTCAGTGTAGCCTAGCCTGGAGCAACGGAAGAACCTGTTCAAAAGTAGATATGGGACATGCCTGTGTACTAAGCAGTGAAAAAACAAACGCACTTACAGGTCAAGTTTGTCTTCGTGAGGCAGCAGTTTCTTCCGTGATCGCGCCTGCGTCCTCATTCGCTCGCTTCCCAGACGACAGATGCTGCTGTCCACTGACAGCGAGCGAGACAAAGTCTTATAACTGCAGCTTGTTAGCGAAGCGACTGCCGCGCTGAGGCGCGACCACGCCTCCTTCGCCAGTCTGTCCAATCCGGCAATGGGACAGACTCTTGTAACGGACAATTTCACGTGATATGAGCTCCGTATACTACTGACCCCCAGTCGTCTGCATGAAAACAATGCTTGCCTAGCAGGTCGAGCTTGGCGCCTCTTCTGTGCCACGCTCGTAGCTAGATCCCCTCTCTCGGAGTGTCCTACGGCCGTGTGAATGGACGGGTGAGCTGAAACGGCCAGTCACTGCGTGCGCGTAGGGGGAAAAGGGGGTGTGTCTGCAGTGAAAGACTTTTCTTTCTTCTCTACGCAGGTCGAGAGTAACTGTGGTGGTCCACGGTGGCAAGGAGGTCGGGAAGACTACCTTCATAGCCCACAGCCTTGTACGTTGGGATCTATTCTCCGCTACAACGTATAATATCACTACGTCTGTCCGTTACTGTATCATCAGCTGCTTTGCGTGGGGTTTATTGGTATGTTAGGTGGGGCTACATGCAAAGAACCTCTGTGACGTTTGCTCCCAACCACCCACACCCCAACCTCTTCCTTTTCCTATATATATAATTATATATGTATATATAATTATATATGTATATATATATATGTGTGTGTGTCTCTCTCTTCCTCTCCCCTCTCCCCTCTCCTCTCTCTCCTCTCCCCTCTCTCCTCTCTCTCTCTCCCCTCTCCTCACTCTCCCCAGGAGCTCTATAAGTCTGAAGTGGGGCCAGAAACAACTGCTGCAGTCCACATATGCGGTCGCGATGTCGCCGTCACTGTCGTAAGTCCAGTTCCCATAGTACCGTAGAGAACTTTTTCACGAGGCCCAAAATTTATTCTCGGAATTCTGAGAGCGTATAATATTGCATGAGAAATGTTTTAGATGATCTGTTTACACGCTGGAATACAAATTGGGCAAACGAAAGATAATAAACCCACCATATAACGCGTGGGAAAGACAATAGCACTCTCTCTCTCTCTCTCACAGATCAGAAACCCAGAGAAGCTGACGTCAGCTCATGTTGCTATTGTCCTGATTGACCTCACAGTCAAGGTATGTGTGTATACACGTATACCACTACACTCTCGCAAACTTGTGGAAAAACAAAAAAAATTTCAATGTGTGAGTGGGAATACTGTAAATGGAGCTTGTAAAATGGATCCCATTTACGAAATGTTATTCAGAAATTTCCTCAAAAAAACGGCAATAATGTTTCATTGCTCTTGCACCACCATGGGGATTGAAATAGCTCGTGCCTGACGTGGCGTGTGGAATGCTGTGTGCATCGCGTTGCCAGCGTATTGTGAACCTCGCCTTAAGTCCAATCGGCTATTAAATTTCACACACGCACACACTCTCTCTCTCTCTCTCTCTCTCTCTAAGGATGCCCTGAGGGAGCTACCAGGGAGTCTGGAGATGGCCCAGAGAATAAATCCCAGAGCCGTCTGTGCCGTCGTGGCAACTAAGGCCGACCTCTATCGCCTCCGTAAGGTTGCAACTGAAGATGGAGTGGTGAGTTAGGTTAATACGATGAACCGTGACTCAGGGTGGACTGTTTTCTGGAAATCAGAGAGAGAGCTTCATTATGCTTTATTCTCCCCCTTGCACTTGATCTCTTGATCTAATATCTCCAAACTGAAGTTGAGCATCAACCTCTGGTGCTGCCAGTACTGTACCTTTGGGTGGATAGTTCACGGGGTGCCTTTGTATTGAATAACAGAGGCTTATATCTATATGTGTGGCACAAGAATTAGTTGGGGGCTAGGAGTACAAAGAGAAATCTGCCTACTGATGTAGCTAGCATAGTGGGCCATCTCTTCTCCCTCCCTTCCTCTCCCTGCCTCAGAGGTTTTGTGAGTCGTGGCCGCAAGGCTCAGTCCCCCTGCCCTACTACGAGACAGGACTGGATCCTCCCGACAGCATCTTGTTTGCCTTCCAGGAGATCCTGGGGAGGCCACTCATCGACGACTTCGTGGTCTGTAGTAGACTTGCTCCTTTGGGAGAGGGACATATTTTTGTGCATTTATGACAACCCGATTTTTAACTGTACAAATATTGAGTCGCAAGGCACAAGGCATGCCTGGAAATGCTAACCAACTTAAGACTATGAAATATACATTAGTACGTTCAGACCGCATTACCTTGTAGGTGTGTAGTTTTAGCTCAATAAACATTGTACGTGCAAAAATACGTAGTTCTGTAATCCGTCCATAATATGGACTTAATTTATGATTGTGTAGCCTAATGTGTGCTTCTGTTGTTTAATCTCACGGAGTTGTTTGTTTTGTTGACATGTCTGTGATGTTGTTTGTTTTGTTGACATGTCTGTGATGTTGTTTGTTTTGTTGACATGTCTGTGATGTTGTTTGTTTTTCTTTCTCTCTCTCTCTCGTCAGCAGAGAAAGGTCACCACAGAGCCTGAACTATCTCAGTTTATCAATGAGGTAACCGGAATTGTAATGTACACACATAGCTCCTGCAATTTAGATTCTCAGTTTTTTCTATTATTCTTCCCTCCCCCTCTCCCCTCCATCTCTCTCTCTCTCTCCAGTCGATGGAGTGGTGTCTGGAGAACGGATCAGCAAACCTCCTCTCCCACCTTCGCTCCCTCGGTCACTCCATCCCTCCCTCTCTCTTCCCCAAACACACCGACGTCCTCTCGCAGTATTTCTTCACACAGCAACCCCCGACTCCAATCCCAGAGTTCACCAAAAACGACCTCTCCGTCGCACCCGAGAGTTCAAACTTTGAAGACACTCTCGACGAACCAGACGAGCCGCTGCAAGTTGTGGACACGCGCCCCACCATCCTCGTCTCCCCCACACACCACCTCCCCTGGTCCGATCTCTCTCTCACCGTCTTCCCGTCCGAATTTCTCTGTTCTCGCACTCTCTCTGGACTAACTCTCTCCCACGTCGATCTGTCCGGAAATCTTCTTGCGGAGATCCCACTGGAAATCTTTCTCCTTCCGTGTCTTACGTTTTTGAACGTCTCTCGGAATTGTCTCCGTTCCCTCCCTGCCATTGATGGGTGGGGGCGACGCTCGAGACTGCAGATATTGGACGCATCGCGGAATTCGCTCGGCGGGGGCGGGAGTCCGTTGCCACAGCGACGGGGAGGAGGGGACGGGGCTGTCTCCGTTCCGTGCGCGGGGGACGTATGGAATGTGGACCTGAGCCATAACGACTTCACCGGGTTCCCCAGCTGGGTCACCAGGTTTCCATCACTGAGAGTGTTGGACCTCTCGGGAAATCCTCAGGTAATTATGTATGCCTAATGTGGTACATTTCCGCAATAAATAAGTGGTTCGCTTCTTAAAATTTTTTGTACGCTTAAAATTTTGTATCATGGGGTGTCAGTTGAAACACTGTTCAAATGCAAAAACTTTGTTTTTCCTAATACAGCTATATAGATGTGTTTGTTATTACGCATAAAGTTATTTTGGGGAAATTATACATACATACATACATACACCAGTGCCACTGTATTCAGGAAGCATAATTCTATTGTCCCTCGGTTCCATTGGTCCACTGTGGGAAATTGCCATGGTGACGACGTTCTTGCGGGTGTCTATTCGCCGACACTAATGTCATTGTAGGAACATCTTAGAGCCATAGACCAGGGGACAATGGCCAATTGAATTGGTCCAAATAACCTGTAATTGGAGGGTCGTCCCCACCAATGCAGCTGCCTTTTCCCGTGACCGATACATACAGTTCAGTGAGTTTAAGTTGTCCTCATTTTCTTAGCTTGCGGCTGAAAGTGTCATGTACATTAGAACAGCGAGTTTAGGTAGTGTGTCTTTATAAGGTATATACACTGTGTATATGTACATATACACACTGTGTATATGTACAGGTATTGAAAGTGTATGTAGCTTATATTGTAGTGCTTGTGTTGTAGTGCAACGTGGGGCATTTTATGGTGAGTTTCTAGATAGTGTGTGTGCTAGCTGCCGGGACAAAGACAGTCCATGTTTGTCGTTTTCACATAAATTTCTCGTACTTTTAGTGAGCACGTGGGGGGAAGGGCACACCAACGAACCATCCTGAATACCTTGACTATAGCTGGAGTTTGCAGTGCTATGGGGTAATAGACTTTTCGTACTTTTAGCAAGCAAGTAGGGGAAAGGGCACACCAACGAACCATCCTGAATACCTTGACTATAGCTGGAGTTTGCAGTGCTATGGGGTAATAGACTTTTCGTACTTTTAGCAAGCAAGTAGGGGAAAGGGCACGCCAACGAACCATCCTGAATACCTTGACTATAGCTGGAGTTTGCAGTGCTATGGGGTAATAGACTTTTCGTACTTTTAGCAAGCAAGTAGGGGAAAGGGCACGCCAACGAACCATCCTGAATACCTTGACTATAGCTGGAGTTTGCAGTGCTATGGGGTAATATACTTTTCGTACTTTTAGCAAGCAAGTAGGGGAAAGGGCACGCCAACGAACCATCCTGAATACCTTGACTATAGCTGGAGTTTGCAGTGCTATGGGGTAATAGACTTTTCGTACTTTTAGCAAGCAAGTAGGGGGAAGGGCACGCCAACGAACCATCCTGAATACCTTGACTATAGCTGGAGAGTGCAGTGCTATGGGGTAATAGACTTTTCGTACTTTTAGCAAGCAAGTAGGGGAAAGGGCACGCCAACGAACCATCCTGAATACTTTGACTATAGCTGGAGTTTGCAGTGCTATGGGGTAA